AATTTGAAGTACATAAATGGCATTAAACGCATTGAAGTTTCTCCCAGTGTTTTCAGATCTTAAGTTTATCAAGCCATAGTTTCTGTAATCAGGCATCAAGAATTATAGATATAATCATGGTTCTCAAAATAATAATAATAATCTCCATTAGTTTGGAAAGTTTAGTTCCAAATTTCATCAAAGCAGAAATAAGTCAGCACAATCTAAACAAAAACATGTCTTTCTACACAGAAACACGCTCAGCCTAGAAAATATCTCACTTTTTTGGTTGTTTTTTTGTTGTTCTTTTACAGGATTTAAACAGACCAAACTGACAGGATTCTTGTTCTAAAACTTTATTGGTTTGCTTTGCTAAAACAATTTCAGGGTTAATTCTATAACTTATTTCATTCACCGCTATCATCTGTGTCGTCAAAATCATCATCATCATCATCGTCATCTGACCAGTCGAATTCACTGAAACCCAAAGCCATGTTGATTTTCTTCCCTTTTCTCATAGAGGTGGTTTTAGAAGAATTCTTTTTGGCTTGCATGTTTATCTGCATTCCAGAATGCAGGACAGATCCTGCTTGGTTCAGAGAGAAGATATCCCCAAAGCCCGTCATCATCAAGGCCTTCAGACTTTGGTTCATGCCAGCTACCTCCCCGTTACTTGTTGCTGTGATCTGACAAGACATCTCTGCACTGTTTGACTCCTCTGTTTTAGATTCAAAGTAAGACTCCTGAGACATTCTTGCAGCAAGAGGTAAGAAAAACTATTTAAAGGAGGAAAGGACAGAGCAAAAGTGAAAGTTAGAACCAATTCAAAAATCAAGGAAAAAGTCACCACCGTATTAGTTGGCAATCAACAGAAAGCATATGATTAGTGAATCTAAACATGGAAATCAAGTAAGGATTCATTAAAATAGCATCCTTCTGGGGTCATTGTTCTTAAATCAAAGTGCAAAATCACTGAGTGGCATGGCAAGAACCACAGGTAGCAGAGCTCTCATGACAAAAGAAGGTTCAAACTCTTCAATCCTCCATTTTGTACAGTGCAAAACAGAACATGACAGTTCCCAGCCAGGTAGACTGGCTCCCAAGACAATGTGGATAAAACAGAAGTCTGAGTGAGTTGCTTAACTGAACCTTTCAGGATTGAAGAATAAATCAGGTTAAGATCAGAGAACCCAAACAAGCTCCCGCAGTCTGGTGCAGAAGTAGCAGCCCCCAAATATCAGAAATAAAGGCAGTAGCAGACTGGTTTGGAGTGTATGCTCAAAAGGAGAGAAAGGGGTCACCCTGCAATGGTCGCAATCAGAAATGAGCCTCTCACCAACGCAAATGACAGTGGAATCCAGACTGCACTAGCACCTTTTGCAAGCTGTCCCAGGGATGAGCAGGCAGGGGAAGAGGGGCTGCGTCTTCAGCTTAGTTTTTTTGGGTTTGTTTTTTTTTTTTCAGTGATATCAATAGCTATCTGCCACTTGTACATCACATTAGATCTCTACTGATATAACCTTCACCTACAGATAATGGCATTCTCCTGACCCAGTCTGTTTGTAATAACAAATGAGATGTGCTCTCTCCAGCTAAATAATGACTAATGCCTCTTCAGAGTGGCCAAGCTAGTAACCTCTGTGACAGGCTTGCCTGTGCTCCATAGGGAGTAAAGACTCAGGAGTTCATCCTAAATTAAAATAACTACTAAAACAACAGCAAAGGAGCGGTGTGTGAACACCTAACTGGCCTTTCTTTCCAAAGCTGTTTGCAAAAACTACCTGCCCAAAATTCATGGTTTTTTCACATTTTTTTAATCTAGTCAGAAAACTGACCAAAAAGTCAATGGCAGTTGGTCACAACTGGTTACAAGGGTGATTATGGTGATGCCCTGGTCTGTAATACAAGAGGTTTCATGGCCAGGCTGCTCAAGACTGCCCATTTCTTGGTAAAACCACTTACACTGTCTATCATTAAAAAAGACAATATCTGTCTTTTGTTCCTCTCGAGTTTTCCCAACTTACACAGACTTTCTATTTGCATTGTGGTTAACAAAAGTTAGTGATCAGAGTTTAAGAAACAAAAATAAAACTAAGAAGTTGGGGAAATAGGGTGCCCTAAATAGTCTTCATGCATCCTACAGTTAAGTGATGAAAGAACCAGCAGCTAAGCTTCTATACACCTGGCTGTACAAAAAAACCCCAATTACACCATCACCAGAGCACTAGTTGGATTAAGAACACCAAAAGCTCCTATGGTAAAAAGAAGTAATGTTTTAAAAACAAGATCTAGCCACATCACACACAATTCCTTCCCAGGTAGTTACGGTCACTTTAGATCCTTAGAAGAGCATTCCCTGACATATGGGAAGGAATCCCTATTAAAAAAAAAAAAAAAAAAAATCAACAAAGCTGCAAACCAGCTTTCCACTAGAACACATTTCTGGGTCATTGACTGTTCAATGCCTGAGAGTGGGTAAGCTATGAATGGCCATAACTGTGGCTAATTTTGCAAGTTATAATCATTTTACTTCCTCCATATTTTGCCATCTCATTAGTTGGAGAACTTAAAAGAGCTCTTTGGGACAGGACATGCCTTTGGTGTCACATTTCATAGGATGACTATCATGAAGAAACAATTAGAGATGGCTGGGATCCACCAATCTCTGTAAATTCCATTGTTCTTACATGATCACCTGCAGGTAACAGGGTACCACAGGTGAGCATATAGATTTCATGTCTTGCTCACAGTCTTTCTCTAAATAAGAGGTTCAGCTTAGCTACATAACACTGTCTTCCTAAAGTCAGGTCCTCTTTCAAAAGAAATCTCCCATTTCACTGTAACTATGGATATATTTTACTCCTCCAAAAGGCTCCAGATTCCCTTGTGCTAGAGGCTCTTGGAGATCTGCACAAAGGAATTTGCAAAGATCTGACTCAAAGGTCTCTTTTGTATAATATACAGCAGAAACAGGGACAAAACAAGAACAGGGAGAAACACTACTTTCACAGAAGCATTTCTAAATGTTGGCCACACCCTTCTCTCATGCTGAAGTGCGTAAAGCTATACTTTATTCTTTAGAGCAGGAGCAGCCTGCCACTCATAATTACCTACCATGCAGGATGAAGCTCCTACCAGCCCTACAACACTGGAGGATCAAGTGGCAGAGACAGCTTTGCTGTCCTCCTTTCACTTGGTTTGAGTTTCTCCTCCTGCATACCACTGGCCTCTGGTCTTCGCTGCAGAGTAAACCGAAGAGGTGACCGCAGAACGTAGAGCAGGGACAAGAGTACCAGCTAGGACACAACAAGGCCTAGTGCTGATTAAGAACCAGGTTTATCCGTAGTGGGCACCCTAAGCTGTGTCATAGCTCTGGCTGCCATATCTTTACTACTGTTTTTACAGTCAAGGTAGTTTAAAATCAAGCACTGCAGCTCCCCATTGCAACCCTCCAGGTTGATACTGGTGAGCAGACACTGCCTGAACCAATGGAGGGAGACAGACGATTGACTCTTAAGGATTGCAGTTTGCAAACAGAACGCCCAGGGATATTTTCCAAATGGTTTAAAGCTATAAATTTAAAATATAGGTGTACATGTAACCAGTGCTTTGTAGAACATCATTTGCTATGAAAAAGACAATCCGGCTTCAATAAGCCATTTTTTGCCAGTATGTCAATTTTTTTCAAAAAAAAGGGCATTTTTAAAGCTGTTCTCTGTAACAGTTCACTTAAGATCTGTAGAAAAAACAAACTTATATTTCTCTATTAGAAGAAATTGTATTTAAATGCAATAGGAGAGTTGGGTTAATGTTATGCAGAAAGATAGTTCATGCTTAGCACAATAGGCCTTAGCACAATGCTTTATTCTTTCAGGAATGCTAGCTCTAAGTGTAAAGTACAAGTCATAAGCAAGTACAGCATAAAAACCCCAGGGCCTTGCTGGTGAAAAGGTTTGCTCATTAAGGCTGTGTCTCATGCTGTGCTCAGAATGGAGGATGGCCCACAGCTCAGTTACTGAAGGCTCGCAAGCGTTAAAGCAGACATATAGATATCTACTGAGAACATACAGTATCTGTACATAGGAAAACATTCATCCTTCATTATTTCATTACTGCATGTTCACAGCTGGAACATAAATGCAACTTCATTCAAACAACAGCAATAAGCTATGCCTTGAAAACAAGTCATATGTAAATGGGTCTGGCTGGAATCAAGGTTACAAGTAGGGTAAAACTGCATAAGTAAAATCATATGCTACTGCAATCTCTATTTGGTATTTGCTTTGGCTAGTGCTTTAAAAACAAGTAGGTATCAGTATTTTTTTAACAACTCTGTTGTAATATGTCTCGCCATGCACTAACCCTGTGGTCCTCCCTCTGCCAATCAGTGGTTGAAGAGCATCACATTTCATTAAGAAATTCAAGATAATGCAAGGAAGGTTTTTGTTCAATTTATTAATAGAAATGTAGCAATTCTAACAGCTGGTAACTGGCCAGTGAAAGTTATGTTAACTATAATTATGAACACAACCTTAAATTAACACTTCAAACTTTGACCCCCTTTTTCACAGAACAGAAATTTGCTGCTTCTCAAAGAAAAAGAACAGAATAAAAAAAATCTACATAGGTTTCCTAAGATGCCTTCTGCAAGATACAAATCATTCTTACATTTAAGACCAAATCCTTCATCCATTAAAGTCAACAACTTTCTAGATGAAAAAAACAATTTACTGAATGCAAACAACTTTTAAGTTGAGAACTCTAAATGAACCAACAGGACACTACTTAAAGTGCCCATGCCCCAGTATAAACTATCAGTAACACCTGGTATCTAATATATTGATGAATTTTTTAAAAAGTATTGTTATTTGGAGTAATGTAATAAATGGACTTTAATTGGCCCAAAGAACCAACTACAGACAACTGGAGCACTACTTCCTTGGTGTGTTTTGAGATTTACATAGACAAAGCTTCAAACACTTTCTGACACAAGATGAAAAGTTGAATTATTGTCTACTTACAGGAGTATTTGATTGTTCAGTTAACTTCTGCTCCCACATCTTCAAACGTCGCTCCCGTTCCTTTAGTTCCTGCTCTTTAAAGCTCAGATCACGCTCCAGTTTCTTTAGTCTCTCTAAGGTTGCCTCAATTTCACATCTGCACAGAGACAATTTGTTACTTCTTGTCTTTTCCTGACAGATATAAATTGTTCATAATTCCCACTTGAATGTTAATTAAATCTGAAACGCTGAAAAGTACAATACTAGCTCAAGCAGTTAATTTAATTACTAAATGCAAAGTCTTTCAGAGCTTTAAGAACAAATTGCAATGTTTATACTTGAAAACAACCATAATACCTTCAGTTGAAGTAAAATAACATTTAAAAGAGTAAAATGCCATATAATAACAATATTTAAAAAATGAAAATGCCTTCTTTCCCCTCAACATCATGAAACATTAGCAACACATTATGGGCAGTCCAAGAAGCCCATTTGCCTGGGTTTATAACTTGGCTATAAATACTATTCAGACTTGCACTCAAAGGCACAGAAGCAGTACTGGGGTGTTTTTCCCTCTTAACTTCCTGTTCCTTTAGGTGAAAATATAAGAACAAGAATACAAACCATGATATGACCCAGCCCTGCAAATGGTTACAAACACAAGCTTCTCAAGTTAGGAACAGCTGTGAAAAAGATTTGGTTTACTTTTCTCCACTTCTCACTGTACATGCAAAGGTATGAAAATATTAAAGGCAGGAAATGAAGGCAGTACTCTGAGAAGCTTCAGATAGCATCTCTACTTGGTTTCACTGCACGTACCTCCCTTAACAAAGTGGTTTCTTTTGACAAACTTTCTGATGGACAGCATCTTTTAAACACATGAATTGAACCGCTCTTGGAAGAGAATTTAACAAGCTTTGCACCACAAATTCACGGGTGTATACTAGAAGGTGAAAAGCAACTCTGTCACCAGATTCGGACACATTTTTTACTCACGGGATAACCAAAGAAAAAACTCCAATTTGTATCAGAGCTTGTATTTGCATTTAATGAACCATTTCTGTGCCTGTCTGGGAGACTGTGCACTGCCTGCCACCTGTGTCCTGACTATTGCTTCAACTAGTCTTCGGAAACAGTTGTGGGAAGAGTCAATCCCAGTATTTTGTTTTCCTCCTAGAAAAAGCTAGCTCCTAAGGAGACAGAGATCCTAAAGAGAGCTCTGGAGACAGCTACTGGGACTCTACAAGGCCAAATATTCTGCTCAAACTTTCACATTATTTTTCCTGCATAAACACACTGCAAACAAAATATGCTCCTTCTGACATTTTCAAAAAGAAAATAAAAGGACTAACAGAGTTAGCTGCCATTTCTATTTGGGGTAGGGAAAGGGAATTATTACTTTCTGTAAATCTCCTGTCCTAGCATGGAATGATTAAGCTCTTCTCCACGATCAACTTAAAAGAGGTTGGGCTCTCAATGTGGGAAAATCGCATACCCAAACATTTCCTATTTAAGCAAATGAAATAATATATATATTCCAAATTCTACAGATTTCTCAATTTAATAAGACATCTCCGTCAGAGAGCAATGCTTACAAAGTACAGTGAAAGGATTCAGAGCTGGAATAACTAGCAAAGCCTACTGCAAACTCTACCACCATGCTTAATTCTACTGCAAAAATCAGCCACCTGGGGGCAAAGACATTTATCACACTTGAGTCTTGCTGAGTGAGCTGTTCGATGTGGTGGTCAGAACAAATGCCCCTCTTAATTATCATGCTTCAGATTTCAAGCAAAATTCTCTATCGTATTTAGGCATGCAAAGGTCAAGACTGATCTCTGTGCTGGGTAGAAAGTGGTGATAAATCCTAATAAAGAGACAATAAGGGAATAAAACAAAAAAGCACCAGAGAGAAGGTCAGAAAGTGACTCTGCTCCAAACATTCATTTCCCTATCATAAACCCTTTCCAGCAGGTGCAACATATACTATGCAATCCACTGTGGGAACTACAGAGCATTTTGAGGACAATTGCAAGTGCAGCTTTTCTTAGTGTCTCTCATCATCACCACTACTTACACACAACTTATAATTTTTAAAGTATGTAAATTACATTCTCTTTTAAAATAACATTCTGAGCTAGGGAAGTCCTGGTAACAATAGTTTTCTATGCGTCAAAAGTCTATTTTGTGCTGTAATTACCTCTCTTCATTAGACAGAAACTTCTCTTATAATAAAAGGTCAGTCTGCAAAAACAGTTGCATTCTGAAAAATAATTTCACTGTATAATGAAACTGTGTAATTAAAGAGAAAGCTACCGTACATTGCCCACTTAATGAGTCTTACTCCATAAATGAAGCAGCTTGAAACATTACACATGGTAGGGCATGTGGATTTGTTTGCTTCTGTAGTTGTGCACTCTGAGTTTACTGGCTTCTCTAGAATATTCTCAGTCTGTGACATTGAAGAACGTATACTGTATTACTAGAAACCATAATGATAAACATTCACAGACTAAAAACAATGACTGGCATTTGTTTATATGTCTTGAATTGCTACTGATACACTAATAAAAGTATCATTAATAAATTATTTTAATCATTAGAACAGCCGCTCGTGAGGAGAGGATGGAAGGAGAAATGCAGTTAGTATATATGATTAACTGCAGACAAATGTGATCTCTCACTGAATTGGAACATCATTACTTCAACAGTAATTTTTTTCTACTGTAATAAAAGTGACTTGAGAAAGAGCTCCAAAAACATCACAGAATATGAACTTAAAAATACAGATCCGTGCAACTCAGGCATAAGACAGCGTCCCTATTCAATTAAATAATAAAAATGTGCAGAACACTTAAGAAGTATGATACTGAAATATTTTATGGAAATTATAGAACAAACAGATTAAAATGCATTATTAATATAATTAGGATCAGAGAATGCTTCAAATAAAACCACATTATAGATAGGTCAAAGTGCCATTTATGTTATAAACTCCACCAGTCATGTATAGACTCAGCCCACTCTCAGTTTTCACATGAGCCAGTTAGTGACAATGAAGTTACTTGCTGTTACAGATACAGTTTGTGCACGTCTATATAGAAAGAACTTCAGCTTTCCTTTCTTTAAGACTGGGAAAAAATGTAATCCAGCTTGTCTGAGCTTTGATTTGCTTTGGTAAGTGCAGTATCCTTGTGAAAGTGCAGTATCTGGATCACTAATTCAGAGGTCCCTCAAAGGAACAAGCATAACCTTTGCTTTTCCCAAGCCCACCCTTCTCTAGGGTTCTAAAAGCCAGCCTTCATTAAAATTCCCCATTTTGTGATAACACATCTCATTCTTTCCCTACTGCTCGTTCCACTATCTCTTTGCAAATCACCGTGGGATAAAAAAACATGAAAGAAAAAAAAGAAGCAACGAATAAAAGAAAAGATTTTTCAGTGCAGAAGTTAAAACATGTTAACTTTGGTGCAATTGTTTTTAGAAACAGTCTGTTTCAGTTTATCCTTTGGGATCACTTTATGCATCTTTCATCTACTTCAGGTGGCATATTTTTTGCATACTTTCTGTTAATTTGACTTCACACTCATGAATGCCTTGATACAGACACGGTTTTCACATCAGGGAAGGCAGCCATTACCAGAATTTGGGTTGGAGAACAGCCCTCTTAACCAGCTTCCAAACAACTCCCCACACAACTTGTGCTCTTTCTGTACTTTGTGTTTTCATTTCAGTTTAATTCAGAAATCATCTTTGCTTTCAGGAAAATCATGTCCCATCAGGAATTTGTATTTTCTCTCTCATATTTCCTTGTCTCCAAGTTGTTTATTATCCCAGAAAAAATGACAAATTTATCTTTAACACAAGTCCCCATAGTAAGAAGTTTTTCTGTTACTTGAGAGTGCCAAAGAGCGTTTTGTTTCTATATGGTTTTTCATTAACACCTTTTCAGACATTCCCCATCTGAGGAAGTTAGGTGCATCAAAATAAAATTTGCAAGAAGAACCTGGGCCACCTGAGTCACACCCCAAGAAATAAACTGATTAAGTAAAAGAATAGAACTATGTTCTAAAGCTAGCACAGCTTTCATTCTGCTATACTGTCAAGATTTAAGTAGGTATTTGCTTTTTCCTAAGGGCATTTGAGCACTTGCTCCTCTTTTAAAAATATTTTTACAATGTAGGGGTGTATAGGAAGCCCCTCACTAGGGGATATTTTTCTTTCAACCCTGCTTGTATTCTGTCTACTATCAAAACCACAATATGATGCCCAGAGTCTGCATAAACAACCTTGGATATGAAACAAGTTTTTTTCCTTGAAATACCCAACATTTGTGCCAAGTCTTAGACCACGGATTTGGGGGGAAGAGGGGATACTGATAAAGCAGTAAAAGCACCGCCACAGATAAAATCATTGGCAAACACTCGAGAGCCGGATACTGGTAAGAGGGCACTCTGAACACTGCTCTCCAGGGCTGCGGGGGACCCCCTCCAGGGGGGAGTCCCGCAGCGCGGGCGGTGGGGCAGAGCGTGGGACAGAGAGCAGGGCAGGGAGCGGGACTGAGCTCTAGGCAGGGAGCGGGGCAAGGAGAGGGGCAGGGAAAGGGGCAGGGAGCGGGGCAGGGAGAGGGGCAGGGAGCGGGGCAGGGAGCGGGCCGGGCCGCGGGCGCAGCGCGGCGCTGCCGCCAGCAGAGGGCGCGGTGCCGCCACAGGCCGTCCCGGGCCGCGGTGCCGCCGCCGGCGCTGCTGAGTCAGGGCAGGACCGGACCCGGCCCGGGCTATTTATACCCGGCCATGTGACCGGGGGCGTCCCATCGCCAGCTCAGTTTTTCCACTCGTCCCACTAAAACTCTACGCCTTGCCTTTCCTTGGAAGGCAGCGGAGGAAACGTGGGATGCCGGTCTTGACACAAGCGCCATTTCCATGTGCTCTTCCCCATCCTCCACCCAGTCCCGGTTTCTTCGATGCCTGCAGGCTGGGAATCCTTCAGTACTTCTGCTCCCCGCTTGCCTGGCGCAGGGCCAATGCTTCTTAATATAGACTGAGGCATGATCATCTGCAAAACTCTTCTGCCTGTGCAGATCTGCTTTCAATTTTCTTTCCCAAACAGAAGGCTGTACTGCGAAGCAGCGAGTTTTCTAACCCACAAATAAACTTTGGGGACAGGTTTCTGAAGTTTTGGCCCATACCAAAAAAGAGGCTGGAACTTTAACTGTAAAACTGTCATGTAATAAAATTTTCTCAAAGCTCATCTCCATTTATCACCACTTACGAGTAACAATAACAATCAGCAATAGCTAAGATCATATGCTCAAGCTGGCCTGAGCGTATGCTGGGATGCATGGACACACAGTCAATACAAGGGAGAGAATGCATAAGAAATGGCAGAACACATACAAGTGAGGACAAATAGATGCTTGACTTGAAATAGTCTTTTTATGCCCTTTATCTTTTTTTGGTCTTAATATTAACATCACCTATACACTTCCTACGAAAATTGCGTCAGTCATACATATATCTGAGTTCTTCTGCCCCCTCACTATTGACTGGAAACTCATAATTGGTTTTAAGATGTGAATCACAAAACCATAAATATCATGATACCTAAACCAGTGTAATAATAAACAGAGGGTACAGCTAAGTGCATTGGCTCCTAATACAAGTTTCGCAACATTCTGGGCATTCCTGAAAAACAACAAGGTAAGTTACATTCTAAAAATACCTCAAGCACACATATTTGCTGCCAATACATCATCAGAGTCTGATGTCTTTCTGAAAAGAACGCTCATACCCATTTCAAGGTAAAACCACATCATTTCATCCCGTGAGGAAGGAAACTTACCTCCACTCCGCCTTGTTATGCAGGAATGAGTTACACTGGTCTGGAAGGTTGCTGTCATTTGACATAGATTCCAGGATTGAAATGATCTGCTTGAAAGATGGCCTTTTCTGAAGACAAAGGAAAACCAAAACAAAACAGAACATTTGCATCTATAGAACTACTAAAAATATGGGCAGGAATTTTTCAACTGAAAAACCACAAGCAACAGAAATTGCAATGGTCCCTTCTGAACACAGCAATCCTACAAGAGCACTGCAAGTTTGTAAATGTTTGTGTTTTTTTTTTTGTTCTCCCATTAAAGAAAAGGTCAGTTTGGGAAGAGTCACATAGGCTAGTAGGACTCGAGCCTTACCTTAGTCTTTCATGCCTACCAGTAAAACAGCATTAAACAACATTAGTAGCATCAATAATCATCTAGATTCTCAATTCCGAAGTTTTTCTCAAGCTAAGAAGGAAAATGCTGCCAAATATAGAAGGCTGGACCCATCAGCAACTGGTAATTAGAGAGATGGCCTTTTACAGGTACTAACACAAACTCTTCAGTGTGTGAACAAGCTATTTAGCTGCTCATCAAAAACGGTTTTCTGGCTGCAGTTCCTCTCTTGCAGAGGAGAGACTTTTCAGAAAAACCTCTCACTTTAGCTACCACAGAGCAGCCAGGGAAGAAGTGAAGATTGAGGCTAGGTAAGGATGCCTCACCTGGCAGCTAAGCTCATATCAGTGGTGTCTGTGCTCTTCTATCCTGGGCTCATTTACTGAACTTTCTGTTCAGGGCTCTCCATCCAGCACCCACTGTGCTCACTAATCACAAAGAGCAGTTAAAACTTTTCTGTATTTTCTACTTTCCCCTTAGTCCCAAGGGGAAGCTATGAAGTAGGATAATAACTGAAAACTGAAAAAGCCAGAGTTAAATGTGTTTCTTGAAAGAGCGCTGACTCTGTTAGTCTGTTTGACAGACCCCAGACAAGGTTGAGACAAAAGGTTGAAACAAAATGTAGATACATAATAAGAGGATGATGCACATTCTTTCTCTATCGCGCCTTTAATTATACCATTTCTGCTAAAATTACAGATGCCGCAATTAAAACGTGCATTTTAATTTGGGAGCACAAAACCAATTAGGAACAATGCTGAGGTGTCTCTCTCAGGAAGATCCAAGTGATTTCCACATTATGAAAGAAAGACAATTTCTTTATTTTAAATGTCAAACAGCATGAAAAAGTGTCAAATGCAAAATAAAAAAAAAAGACAAGCTCTCTTACACTGTAATGCTCCACTATTCGGCGTAACTGGAGGCTTTGTCTGTCATTTTTTGGTCCATCTCCATGATTTCAGGCAATGGGCAGTTGAATGAGCTACACAGCTTTTTTTTTTGCAACAGACACACCTGCCCCAGCCTCCTATGTGCTTATGCATTTTGGCCCCCAACCCAGCATCCATGGAGCACCAACCTGGGCACGCCTGGCAACAGGTGCCTGCTCACCAGCACTTGTTGACATGGAAATCCAGCAGGGTCACCCTGCCTTTACAGGCAGCTGTAGGAGGCAGCAGTCCTCCCCTCCACATGCATAATGCTGCTGGACCAAACATAGCTGAGTAGATCCTCTCAACGCACCCTGGAAGAGCCCAAACTTCCCCAGTCAGGGAGTGTGTGGCACCGGGGGTACAGGCACAAAATCCATCCCTGGCACCAACAAGGACGACAACACCAGTGCAGTTTTGTGGCAGAAGAACCTTCCAACTGCCCTCACACCCTTATTGCTGCTACAGCCGCGCCTCTTGTAACCACACGGTTACAAGACACAAACTGTTGAGGTGATTCAAGAACCTCCCAAACAGAGACGAAGCTGCCAGACAGGAGATGGTGGCTCTCCACCAATACACCGAGGTACTGCTACTGCTACGCCCTGTCCAACACACTGGAAGGTGCCTAATGTGCCTGAACTAAACTAATTCTATTTTCAGGAAAAAACCAAGAGCAAACATCCCCATGCTGCATTACTTACAACATTTTACAGTTTGTTCAGGATTATTTTACAAAACACTTTCATAAGTTTTGCTTGCTCCTATTTTTTTGAGAGTACCCTAGGAAGTATAAGACAGGGCTGACACTAAGTGAGCACACTCAGCACTATTGTCAAGCCTGTCTGCATTAACTGGAATGGAGGTAATGACAGAGAACAGGGCTTTTACTAAGGGTGAGCAAAAGGACCAACCAAGTGATTTGGGAGGAGCAGCACCACATGTTTGGTGGGTCCTACATTACAGGCAAAGGAGCTGCTGAGTTGTGCAACTGGAGCTGGAACAATTGCAGAGTCCCACAGTACTGTCAAAGCTTGTACATCTCTGGCTGTGCAATATCTGCGAACAGCCAGCAGCTACCCTGCCAGCTTTGTAGCTGCCAGATTTACAGGTACCAGCTTTCCGTGGAGACAAAGGTGACAGGAAGACAAGCCTACACTGCCAGGTGGGTTTTGCTGGTGGTTTCTTGCCCCTAGGAAAGGGTAATTTCAGATTTAATAAATGCTCTCTAAGTACAGAGTGGTTAAAACTGGCAAGAAGTGATTTGTGAAACTGGGAGCCCAAGCTGAGAAACCTTGAAAAAAAAAGTCTTATTTTTGGTGGATAACTGCTTAGTACTTTCTAGAAAGTCCTTATAAGAGATTCTTAAAATACCCAGGCATGAGTCGCCTTTGAAAACTGTTTCCCTTTATATCTGTGATGCCTCATACTGAAACCTTTAAAATACATGCCCCTCTAGAAATAACTCTGGCTAATGTTTTCATTGTTTCCTTCCACTCAGTATTTCTTACTGAATAGGTCTGCATAAACCCAGGATATTTAATCCATATGACTTTTATTTCTTGCTTTCTCTCTGTACCCAGGTTTCTGATTTCCATTAAAATACTCAGTAATTTATAAACATCTTTGATATGGAGATAAACTGAAGGAATAGATGAAATGAGAAAGAATCATTCACCTATATTTCAAAAGCAAATAACCCCAGTAAACAAAGGCACCAGTAATGAGCAATCTTGTTTCTATGATCTAGTAGCCAAGCAAAAGCAACTGGTTTGTTAGAAATTTTAACATGTGAGCTGTTTATTTCACCTAGCAGTTTAAACTGCATAAAGACTACCATTCCAAATATCATGTGGAGCAATGAACTACAGACATTTTTCTCCACGTATGATGAAATTCGTAAGAATTCAAAGCAACATTAATAACTCTGTCCATTCCCATGAAGAAGTTATGGTGTGAGCCATATCTGACACTCCAGCTGCTTTGCAGCAGCTCTACAAGTGTACTCCTTAGCCCCACAGTAAATGCACATCCCTCTTTTCTCAGGGTTAAGCCACCAAAAGTTACCTTATGCTTTCTGTGGACTAAAAGTATGCACCTTAGCAACTGCCTTTGAGCAGCTGACATCCTCGAGCTCACCTCTGCTTGACCTTCAGTTCATGCATCAACGATCTGATTTTCTAAAGCTAATCCTGGCAAAAAGGGAATGTTACACAGAGCACTATTTCAGAGGAGCGTGCTCCATCTTTTGGCTCATGCAGGCCACACAGCCTTTTATCAAAGCATTTTGAGAGCTGTAAGTAGTGATCTTTTCCCAACACGTGACTGAATAAGTCAGTCACATGCCCAAATTGTGACCAGAGATTACTCCATTTCAGTCACGTGAACAAAGTATTTATAATTGCCTAACAGAAGAAGAGCTCCATGAAAAAAACTAGCAAAGAGCAGACTGTCAAAAAAACCCCTCTCACATGAGATTCACTCTTTGCACACAATCCAGAGATGCCTCTGGGAACAATGTTCCCAGAAGCCCACACCCAGGTGAATTACTTAGGCAGGCAGCACTCAGCCTGATGGTTAAGCATCCTTCTTTTACGACATGAAGATCCCTCCCTCTCCTTGTGGCTAAAGCAAGGCAGAGAGGGAGTTGATCTAGCATGTGCTACAATTACAGAAAAGAAGCCCCAGTAATTCTTATTCTGAGGCCTTTGGTAGCAATACTGACGCTTGGGAGCCGTTATTAAAGATAAGCAGTTGTCATTGAAAGTGCTCTTCAGTAATTACTGACCTAGAATTTAAACAGCCTACTTGTAGATTCAAAAACTCAAAGCATTTTTTCCTCCCCTTCTGTGGGGAGGATACAGGGAGTTATTAAGAGAATGACAATTAAATGTCTGTTCATGTGGAAACCACATGTTGATGGATCTCAGTCTTCCAGATCTATTTTGTAGGAAAGCAACTTCTTGCTTAAAAAAGAGAGATCAAGAAGTGATATTTCCTTTCTCATATTATTCTTCTATGACTACTCTCTGGTGATAAAAAGTTCTAATTCAGAGAACCTAAATGCTATAACTTGTCTTAGAATTGATCTTGGTTTCTCTGAAGTAGTAGCTAGCTTTCTCCTGAGTTTAAAGAAACAAAGTTCTTGCTGGTGCCTTGACTTGAGAAAAAGAGCATAATTTCCTCTGCTTAACTATCCTTTCCTGTCTCGAATATTTTCATAAGCAAAAGAAATAGATGTTAATCCTTGGTAATAAAGCTAGTATGCCCACAGGCTCTTTCCAGCCAGTTTTATGTAAAACAGGATGGTAGCACAGTCCATTTAAAGAAGCTAACTCTCATAGCCTACAAAAGCTTTTACTGTCTAAATACTCTATTTAATTCCTTCCTTGTAGCAGCAGATTAATAATAACAATGGTTTGGCTCTTTAACTTTTTATTCTGTTTTCATGGTTAAACAGTACTGCTATTATCATATTATTACAGTATAGTCATTATAAAGCTCATCATTCAAATCCTAAGGGAACAGATTAGGAAAGATTTAATGTCAATTCAGAATGTGTTGCTGCTGTTGCTACCCATGTTTTACGGATTAACTTATTCTTTAATTATATTTGTGTTTTCAACACAAGGATGGCATGAAAATTGGACCTTGAAATAGCTATTTCATAACATGATGCTCACATACATCCAAGAAAGATCAAATATTAACTGTTGAAAGAAAATATAAACCCCACCATTCTTCCACTTGCTCCAAAATGGCTATACTTTTGCCATCTTACCATATTTCCCATCATTGCCTTTAGTAGTCAGGTAAGTCAGTAGCACAGTAGCTCTTGATTAAAAGTGAGAGACAGACATTTACGTACAAATATATAAACCCATTAAAACCCCCAGCCCTAGCTATCTTTGTGAAGAAATGTGTTTTAGCATGCATCAATGGTGTCAGCTCAGACTTGTTCCCCACGGAAATACTAATGCACTTTGCAAAACAAGGCTGGGGGGTTAGAAATCAAACACACATTAAATTACCTTTGAATCAGCATCCCAACATTGCTGCATCAGTTCTGCAAAACTTCTGGGACAACTGCTTGGAATGGTTAATCTCTAATGGAAAGAGAATGTACCAGTTATTGGAAGCATTTCCCTTTAAGCTGCTACTAAGAGACTTCCTATAATAGCAACGCGATTAAAGAATTAAAGCACATTCTTTCTTTAAAACACAATATAAAAAATGAGGATTGACATATTAGAAAGAAAAATCAAAATTATTAACACTAGCAAGACATACAATTAATTTTTAATAGACCTATAAGAAAGGAGTGTAAGAAATGCACAAATGGAGTTCCTTAAGAAAGCTCAGGGAAGAACTAAAAACAAACAGCTTTTAATACTAAAACATAATAGTTTGTGGAGGTTGCTGCATGTTATTTTAAGATGCTTGTCAAGACAGGTATAATGTATAGCATGCCTTAATTCCTTTCTCCCACACAAATGATCTAGCTGTACAATACTATAATCAGTTTTGACACACAAATGGTTGAAATATAGATTACATTAAGTGAGTTAAAAAGAGTTAGGTGAAGCTCTACATGACACAAGAGATGTTTCATGAGCCTGTGGCCAGAAGGATTAATGAGAACATGCAGATCTCGGAAAGCACTCCCAGAGCACAGTGAACTCATAAATACTTCCTAATGACTGAAGACAAGGAGTTGCTGGTTATAGCCAGGACCACTGACTACAGAGAATTAGTTTGAAGCTTGTTTGGTTTCATTTGCTGAGAGTTTTAAGCCATGAAAAGATTCACTCAGTCAGTCTTAGAGGATTTTACCTTAAGAGTCTGCCTCCAGACTGGAAAGCCTAAAAGCAAATCCCTTCTCACATACACACACACACTCTCCAGTTGACTGCAAGTGCTTCCAACAATATTACACCCAAAGATCCCTCTGCTCTCACTAACACAGTTTACTGATTTCAGATGTTTCATATTAAATAAATAACAAAAAAACGTAGATTAAAAAAACAGTTCTTCAGTGAAAATGAGTCCAAATGGACGCCTCAAGAGGGATCAAGCTGGAAAAAGGTTCCTTGTCCTCTAACAGGTGAGAACCAGATATTACAGTCCTGTTCAGATCAACCTACCAGGAGGACCCTTTGATCTGCCCTACTATTGCCATTTCAGAAGCAAAGCAGAGCAAGTTGTGTCGAACTCTACCATCATATTGCTGCAGCATAACCTGCAAAGCCTTACAGCAGCCAAGAGTAAAGAGTTAAAAAATTCTGCTCCACAAGCATTTGAACACCATGAGAACTGGAAACATGAGATATAGATGCAGGGCACTGCAGAAGTCTGATTATTAAAATAATGTAATAACTTAAGATTATAACTTAATAATGTAATAACAAAGGTTTCTGTGCAAGAAATACATAGAAATTTGTACAATGCATAAACAAGTTGTACTGGTGCTTGATCTCTGATTGAGTCATTAGCCTAAAAATACACTAGTTAGTCTTGCTGCAGTATTTTCTGTAACCCTCACTGTTCCAGACAGTGGACAATCAGTTGCAATCACCACTTGTCTCACTTGTGCAGAATGTCACCTATATAATATGTAATATAGAGGTAGCAGGTTTCAAAAGTGTCATATTATAATAAAGATCATATTTCTCAGGGGCATTTATTATGAGATCATGCCTAGTATAATCTGAACTCTCATGCCTTTCATTTCTGGCTTAAAAAAATTATACAGAAACTCTACTAGAATAAAATAACACTGAAATTATACAGAGTCAAAAGAGATCCATACAGAATCATCAGAATCTACATCACTTGTTGGCCTCAGGATTTGCAAAGGGGATTTTTCACCTTATGCAATTACGCTTTGGCCTCAGTCCCACACTGATTTTAACAAGAGCCTTGCAGTGCAAAAAATGGAGGACTGGCTCAACAGTGATTCAATCCTGTTGTGGACTGGAAGCATGCAATCCCATTGATATCAATAGATTGAACCGAGAGCAGAACCTGACCCTTACACTTGCTTTGGGATATAGAAAACTAAGAAGAAAAGCAGCACAAGCTGACTTTTACAAGGCTTATGCTGAACATGTTACCCAAGTCATGGCCGGAAAAAACAAAAACTGTGCAATGGCCTCTACAGCCCTCTAAGAAAGATGGTAGCAACAGGTTAGTGGTACCTGGCAGGCAAAGAGCTGGCTGTGAAAATGTCACCCCTTAGGTTTCTTCAGCCATGAGTAAAATAGTCATGTCCACACTTTGTTCATACCGTATTTTACACAGTTCTTTGGCCTGGAAAACTATAGAGAAATGTGTGTTGTACTCTGTCATCTTGCAGCACGTGACTACATCTCTTTAAACATTCCCAATGCTACTTTGTACCCCTGATGTAAACTGCAGGTAGTAGGCACAAGAAACAAATACTGTTGATGGAAGGCTTTATGGTTACCCCTTCAAAACGATGTATGAGGCTCTTCCGAAACTACAAGAGTATCTTTGTGCCCCCTGCTCTGATAAATGCAGTAGAAGACCACATTCATAATCTTCACACTGTTAGTGTAGCATTTCCAACTAATCAGTATATCACAGTGTCACTCACTGGAATTAATCCAGTCCTCAAAGAGAAATAAAAATAAAGGGGGAAAAAACACCAATAAAAAATATTAAACTAAGAGGAGGAAACCTAACTCCTCTGTTAAACTCTGAAGCATTCTGAGAAACAGTTTATGTAGAATAATAGAAACCTGTATTGTACAGCCACTGCCTTGCCATTGTAATGTTTCCCAAGCTTCCGCTGTGTCTAGATAGAGGAGGTTTCATCTTTGTGGAGGATTTCCATGCTTGTCTGTGTGTGGTACAGTCACAACTTTAAATGTTTTTTAAATGTAGTTACTGTCTTTGATATCAAGGGACTATGTGTTCAGATATACGCTCACATGTCCAACTAACTGAAAGCCTCAATTTGTGAGAAGAAGAAAAGCGAGGCTGGGGACACTGTACAAACGGTGTTTACACCACTGAAGTGCTTTTGAAATGGAAAGACTCTGCATGAGGAGGCTTGCAGCTATGCCACAGCCTTGCCGATACCAGTGAGGAGCTCATCTTCAATGTAGTGTTGAACGTAGGTGGCAAAACTGTAATTTCTCTCTTTTTTTTAAACTATTTTTTCTTCTTTTATTTTTGAAATTTTCATCTAAGCGGCAGTTTCTTGTACTATAGTGACTCCTGCTGGGAGAGTTAAGTTGAAGTAGCTGAAGGTCTCTTACAGATATATCAACTCCCGGCCAGTAAAAAGATGTCCTAAACGCAGGAGATGGAGTTAAACTGTTCCCCTACCTTGGACGCAATGGCTTCTTTCATCACTAAGAACAAACCCCTAGGTTTTACAATTGAGACTGAGAAACTAGTACAGTACTTGTACAATTTTTGATCTACAGCATCACGACGTGAAGCTGCAACAATTAGATGTAAAGGGTCCATTCATGAGGAATAACATCACTTTGACCCTTTGTGTTAGCTCCTACTGCTAATCTTTCCATACGCGTGAACTTACTTTCAATTTGAAGAAGATGAAAAAGTCTTTTGCAAAACCCCAATACTGTTTTCTGATCTATGTACCTGAATGTAGAAACGTAGTCTTACCTCGTTTTTTTCCACTACAAGCCAAGCTACTTGTAATCCTTCCAAGCCTTTAAAGGGGACCTCCCTTGTTAGCATCTCCCAGAGAACCTGGAAGGGAAAAAAAGAAAAGAATTTTTATTTCTGTACTTTGTATTTTAAATACATTATTAAACCTTGATACAGCACTATTCTGTATCCAATTACCAGGCAACCAGTTTCCATTTGCAGGAACTTGGACCAGTGTTTGTGTGCAAGATCCTCTCACTAAATTAAATTGAATGTTTCTGCTTTTTTCCTCTACAGAAAAGCCAAGATGAAAAACTGGGTTGCTTTTTTACTTTCTTTGTACACTACAAAGTTCACATTTGGCAGTTGAGACTTGGGAAGACAATGAACTCTTCCTCTCCTTCTCAGTCCCAACTAGACATATCTTTGCTTTGCAGTAATTTTTCATTTAAAAATATTTCTATATGATTGCCACCAGTGAATATTATCCAAAATGTATTTTGCTCCTATGATATGCCTATGAAAATATTAAATATAATTTTGCAATCAAAACTGTAATTGTTTATCTCCAAGTATGTGATCACGTTAAACTAAGCAATATATAGCATATATAAAATTACTCTGTTCTCCTCAAGATTTTATATACGTACTGTACTTAAATATAGAAAGATCTCCTAATTTTACATGCTCTTAGTGCTTTGGTAACAGTACCTGAGAATCTAAGCTACTCTGTAGAAAAGAGCCTGGCATCACCAAGAAGGTTTCAAGTCAATGAATCCAACTTGGTTTTCTGCCACTGGGACAACATATTGGAATTCAACCAAATTAATAGCACTTTCTACCTCCACTTGTATATGTCCCTTTTTTTTTTTAAAGCTGAACCTTCATATATGTATCTCGTTACAAATATCTACAAATTTTTTCTTCTGCTCATATACCAAGCAGAACAACAACAACAAAATATTTTATGCAGGATTTGCCTAAATGCATTAAGATCCTTACGCAACTCTCTATATCCTCCCTGTTTGGGTTAGTACCCAGGTTTATTCCAGCTACATAATTTCAAATGGACTGTGGACAGCCATGAAGACAATCAGAAAAAAAAAAAAAGCAACAATATTGGCAGACAGAGGTCAAGCAAAAAAAAAAAGCATTGAAGCAGAGTTGGGCCTTTAATCAAATGAACAAGGTACACTCCAACAATAGACCTATTCGAATAATTCTGCTTGAGTCAGAAGACTGATTGGTAAAGGTAAGGGTATCTTGGAAAAATAAGGACAGTTTTCCCAAGAATAAGAAATATATGGGGGAAGTTATCGTAGACGTATTCAACTATCCTGTTTGCCTCACTTCACTCCTTTCAGAAGAAAAATAAGGCACCTCAATTAGTAACTCCAATGATCACCTCTCTGCTGTTAGAGAAGGAAATTTAACTCTGAGAGGAGGAAAAAATTTAGCAGCCCCATGTACTTCAGATAAAAAAGGCAGTGTACAAAGCAGTCAGTTTAAAACAAAAGCCCCTGGATCAAATCAAACATGTAGTTGAGCAGCCTTGTAGAACCACCTCATCTGTATGACTGTACTATGAAATCACAGAGGAAAAACTCAAGTTTGCACAAGATAGAGCAGTATCTAAATATATCTTCCAAGTAAAGAACATAATGAAATACATGTTAAATGTCTTCAAGAGCCTTGAGCTGGAAAACTACTGCTGTGCTACCTTTCTTTCAGAAGACTAAATTGTAAGAGCTGTCTCATCTCATTCATGCATGTACATTTGTGCAGAACATTTTGCACCAAATTCCTTTATCGTGACACCTTTAGTGTTTATTTCCACTGCTTGTACAGATCACTGCCTCCCTAAACCAAGTGTTAGCTAAAAACACTTCAAGACTGCACACAGATGAAGAGAAAAACAGCAATCTGACACAATATGAAGAAGTTTTCTTAATGCTTTCATTTTACTAATAAATTAAAATAAAAGATCCAAAAGTGGGATGTTAGAAATCCTTGTATTTACTTATACAGATTTAGAAAACATTCTAACAATGATGCAATTTTAATATTCAGGCCCATGGTATAGATAAAGTATTTCCTTCCATCAGTGACATGTCTCTATTTTCAGTTCTATAGGAGCTTCAATCCCATCTCTTGGACTAGCTACCCTGAATCATCAGCTAATGTGAATCATTGCATCACCGGTCTTTTAAAAAGCAGTAAATGGGTACCTTCTGCATTCCCATTTGCCTCTTCCTCTCCCCAGGTTCACTGAGCAGCAGACAAGGACCTTACCCTGACTTACCCCAGCCTCTTTATTGCGAGGTATGCTCTGTTCATTTTCAGAACTGGCTCCCCAGCTCACTTCACATGGAAATCAATTTATCTTCCATTTCTGGTGTAAAATCTGAGACTGACATGGTTCACATCCCCTCCCACCCCTGATGGTGAGGATCACCTGCTTTCCCAATCACATCACCTCTCTGTGATGATGGACAGCAGGTGTTCACAGAAAAAAACAGCCAAGCTAGAAACAATGATGAAAAACAAAGGAAGGTCATTTAATGTAGGGGTTTGTAACTTGTGGCCTCTGAAGACGTTGGGCTCATCTTTGCATAGAGGAACAGAAAGGAGAGATAAATGCATGTGTGGTCATCCTATACATGAAGCTGAGAATAAGAATTACGTGGTCTTCAGAAAAAGCTCATACACTTACTTCTGTCAGCTCAGCTGTGCATTTCAGTTCTTATCCTCTCAACTATGTGACAACAACCCAAAGGAAAAAAACCAACCCCACAATACTGCCACCCCATCCCCACACCAGTGCAAAACCAACAAAGATTCAAAGTGCCATTTGGATAGGGGAACATTCAAATGAGTAATTTGAGGAAAAGGAAACACTCTGAACACCTTTACTGAAAAAAATAAGCGTTTTCTCCAGGTAGGAAACTGTCCACAGATGATGGTCAGGAGCCACAGTGAGCGGAAGTACAGCATGAGCATTAGCATTGCACTCATAGAGGTGCTGCCCTTAGGCATGAAAATTAGGTCACTCTTCTCTGCATTGATCCAACTGCAGTTAAAGATCACATAATTCTTTTCAAAGAGAGTAAGGGATAACCCCTGGAGCTGGCCAACATTCCCTCTATAAATAACGTATGTTCTCATAGCTACAGCAATGTTTGAACAGCTGCTACATTTAATGGCAGTCTCTATGCCACCAATAGCCAATTAATGGTTTTACTTATTTGTTCTTGTAAGTGATAAAATAATTCAGCTACATCGTATAAGCTTTCTATGATTAAACACATTTACAGTGATACACAAACACACTGTGGTGCACTACAAACAGCTCTGCCAGAATAACATATTCTGAGCATATGTCTTCATGATTTCAGAACAGCTTTCTGAGTGACACTGTCATTCCACATACACTTTCCTATCTGGCAGAGACGCAAGGAGTAATTTTTGAGCAACACACAATGGCACGAGTCAGTTTCAGGGTTGATCATTTTTAACACTTGGTATCTGTTGTTTAGAGTATGGATTTGGAAATGGATCAGAAAAGAGAATCTCAGCATGGCTGAAGGAAAGTGCAAGATCTGTCTTTGTGTTGTAATAAATCTCCTGGAACAATCAGCTTTAGCATTTCATGGCAGTATTATAAATTATTCACTATATATCCCAAAGAGAATACATGGACCTGTTTATATAAATTATTTACTATATATCCCAAAGAGAATACATGGACCTGTTTAATCATCCATGAAGAGCAGCAGAAGGTAATCTGAACCTTAACTATATACATGTATACAATTGTTCATAAAGAGGAAAATTCATTTCAGTTGAGAAGCAACTCAGACCTATAAGGTTGCAGAAAGACTTCGACACTTCATGGAAAAAAGCTGTCGCACACCTTAAGCAGAATATTTAAAATCACAGACTGGTTTGTAGAAAGAACAGTGTCAGACAGAAAAATAGCAGAAAAAAAATAAAAGAAAACCATGGGGAAGATGACAAATATTGCAAGTGGAATATCTATTCCTAGCATCTTACTAGTTTACATTTGAAAGGATTCTGTTCTTTGTTAAGAGGACTTTAACTGAAGAAAAGCAGATTTGTCTCTCTAGCACAAAAGCTGCTGGCAAGTGTTACACTTTGAAAAGGGACTCTTTAAATTTTGTTTTTATAAATGATAAGAATTTAAAGAGACAAAAATACCATTTCTCAGATTTTTTTTTTGTTTTCAGTCCCCTAGCTAATTCTCTGACAGTCATAAAACTTACAGTGAGATTCCAACCTTCAATGTTATATTCAAGCCATCTCTTGCTGGTATAACCCCACTAGGTCAGTAATTTCAGCAACAAGAGAACTCTGGCCCCTGCCGTTCTTCATTTCTAGCCCTGTATCTCCTCCAAAAATTATGATGTTCCAAGACTAGACTTACAAAAAGATTGACTCCTAAGAGTTTATGAATTCATAAGCTTCTATTCCCAGTAGAACACATTAGCTCAAAAAAAATATATTAAAAAATGTGGGTCAAATATTATTAGACACTCTAAAGTAGCACTACACACCCATAACAACGTTAAAATATTCTGGTAACACTGAACTGTTTTCATAAGGAGGGTAGTTGAGTTTTACCTCCAAGCACAGAACTGTCAAAGGAACCTTACTTTCTGGATGAGGAAAAACAAACTATGCATGACATACTGTTCTCAAAGCACTGTTAATACTCCACATGATAAGATACTAAATAATTTCTTACCTTCTCCCACATAGAGAACATTACTTATAGTCAATTCAAACCAGGATGACTACAGGAGCAGTTTGAGCTATAAGACTATGTTTGGAATTTTTTCCTCTAACGTTTTTGTTCTGTTTTGAAACTGGAATGTTTCCCTTCAGTGGACAATATGTGATTGCTTCCAGTAACAGTTTACATTAACATTTACATGTTAGTTTATGTTCTCTCACTGTTTGTGACCTAGTTCAGTTAAGCAAGCAAGGATTTTGAATCTGAAAATATAGTCTTTTTCTCCCTCCTTGCAAAACTTCAACCTTTAATTGTTAAGTGATGCCACATCATCTTTCACATATTTTTTTTCTCACTATAAACAACTGTTTGGCAAAAAGTTTAAGTCATCCTCCATTGGAACATCAGCTTAGGTATGTTAACCATTAGGTGCAAGCCTAAAAACACAGTGCCTCCCTCACATCTCTCTACTTCCATCCCTCAAAAAGAGGCAATACTTGATGAGTACTGAAGAATTCCTCATTCTGCCACCCACTGTTGAATCCAAACACAAATATGATTAATACACAGATATGCATGGAAACTACAGTCCCACTTCCTTTCCTTTACCCCTTGAAGTACTCTTCACTGTCCTCTGTCAGAGAAAGGATATGGCCACGTAATTTATCTGATCACTAAAGCTATTTCTAGCCTATTTTGTATTGCACAGTAAAACCAAATTAGAGCTTAACTGTGGACACAGGGAAGTAATTCACATTATTGAATCTGAAAATCTGACATTGTGGTGAACTACAACTGATTGCTCACCCTTCAGAAAACCTGCAAAGTAATGCTGGGCTTTTCTATATTTTCCAATGGGTAGAGTCTCTATTCTCACAGGTAATGATAGCAGGGTCTTTTAAACAATTAAGAATAGAGTGGTGGCTTACTTTTTATTATACATCAGTGATACTCCATTTTAGGGAAAGCAGAATGCTAATCATTTCATCCTGTTATACCCCTATTACAAGACAACCTTCAGTTCCACAAAAAAACACAAGCAGGGACTCAGGTTGTTCAGTGGCTCCTGAAAGCCTTTGAACATATGCTGAACAACTGTGGTTGCCCTACACTGGCATGCTGCTAATCTAATCAGATCTTACTAAACATTCAAGACACTGTTCTTCCTATCATTTTCAAGCATGTAATTGCAAATTATGGGTCAGTCTTAAAAGAAAGTCTGGGGTTTTTTGTTGTTCTTATTCAGAATTGCTGTTCTTGCATCATGTGAATTCTGTCACGCTGGACAACTGCTACTACCCATAGTAAAATGAGAGGCACTCACCACTCCGTACGAGTATGTGTCACATGTTTCAGACACTGGAAGACTTTGAATAACTTCTGGGGCCATCCATGGAAAAGTGCCCACTAATGACATGTGTGTCGTATGGGAGTGGAACCTTGAAGCACCAAAATCACAGATCTGGCAAGAATAAATAAAAAATTAAACAGGTAATAGAGTATCAACCTCATTCATTAGACATCAAAACATCGACTCAAGCAGCATGTCTTTACAAATAATTAAAGAGTTCATACCTTTAACACACCATCAGCAGCTATAACAACTGAAAATGAAAAAACAAAAGGTTAGAAGAATGCTAAAAATAAACATAATATGTTTTCACAGCAAAATACTTTGTTTTTTAGCAAGACAAATGATCTTATGGTGAGCCAGCACTTGAGTGTGCACACGTGCACAACTGTCCTGGTTTCTTCGAGAAGCTTTAGAGAACATCTATTGAATCCCTGCAAGCCTTAGAACAAATGCAAAATCTTGCAGGCCTTACTGAGTTCAAAGACAGCAACACAGATAAACTTTGCTCTCCCCAGTGTAGTTAGGCTTAACAAGAAGCTCTCTGGAAGACTCATTAATAAAGGAGAAAACTGAGGTGAGACCTAGACTTTTCTTGACTGTGTGCATTTTCTCCCTGCGTGCATTATTAAAATTTGTGTCCCTCTTATCCCACGACTGGTAGTGGAAGTTTCATTTTAAAGTCAATGTTCTGCAAATTTCATAAACAGCCGTCAACTGCTAAGTACAGACTGCATATTGAATATGTATTACTCAAAAGCATGCTACTTTACCATTCCTGGACTTCAGGTCCCTGTGGATAACTTTCACTGGAGCTTCCATGTGTAAATAGTGCATTCCTACACAAAACAAGGGAACAATCTAGTTAGACAGGCTGAGTGGGGCCATCATGAATCTGCAGTCATGTTTCCTGGTTCCCACTAATCGTACTTGTTACAAGCTGGCATACCTGTATGCCATACTGACATGCTGAAGAAGAAGTAAAGCTTCCCATAATCTACTTTGAGTAAAAAGTATCAAGCAAAGCTCATGCATCTATCAGAGCATCTATATGGATATGCTAATGGTTTTTAATGTCATATATAGTTATTTTCTCTAAGGTAGTGTCTACACAAGGAAGCCTGATATGAATTTACCATTTGTTCATTAGTTTACACTAATTCTTGTGTGGTCAGTCATAGAGAACACAAAGGATGGAACAGCTTATTCTATGTTATTATGTGAAGAGTTTCAGTATGGTTGCTGAGAATAAACCCTCAGCTTCCTTAAATGCCCCAATTCAAATCAAATGTAAGGGTAATTATGCACTTTACCTCATAATTACTCTACATCAGCAAAATTATCCTCTTGGGACTTAGGGGCACACCAGAAGTAAAACTGGCTCATAGAAGCCATTTTCACTTCAGAGTATTTTGGATTCATAATAAACAAGGAACATATTAAAAAGCACAGTGAATGGGTTTTGCTTTTTTTTAATGTATGTATGGTTGGTTGGTTGGTTTTGTTACAATTTGAATAAGAAAGACTACGAAGGCTTTCCTGACTTCCTAAGGAAAGCATCTCCAGCTGTACACTTTGCTGGCTGTGTAGGATAATATATACCACTCATCTTACTTACCTTTAGCTATGTCAGTTGCCCAGGTCATGATATGATCCATATCCATCTCTTCACTTTTGTTACTATTAATGTAATCAAACAGTGAGCCAGCAGAAGCATACTCTGTTAAAAAACAGCAACAAACAAGACATTTTAAAACATAGCACCTAACTTGAAAGATGTAATAGAAACTCTGCCAGTTCCAGAAAGAAGTCAACCTCTGGCTTAACGACAAAGAATTTGGGTTCAGCAGCTAATACTATTAGTAGTGTAGTAGAAGAGTGGTAGTTTGTTCTGACTACCCCAACACAGACATAACCTACTGCTAAGGAAAAAAACCTAACAACAAACAAAGTGTAATCATATATAACAAGAGACATTAAATTGAAAAGGCATTAGAAAGGTCTGGCATCAAGAAAGATCAGGTAAAGCAGTTCAAATTCCAGAGTAAAAGGCTCTGGATGTTCCTTGTTCAGGATAAGCAAATCTTTTTCTTAATTTCTCTTAACTACACCAACAAAATGCCACAGCAGGATTCTATGGGTACAAACAAGGGTTTTTGGGGTCTACTGGTGTTTCCAAGTATGGCAGATGGAATCCAGTCTGACTACCAGAGCTGTATGCCTTAAAGCAGGAATAACATGCTAGTTTCACCTACACACATTTAGGTGTGAAGCTGGAGACAACTGAAACCTGCACAGCGCCACTTTTATATAACCTAAAATTCTTACTTTTTTACACAGTGAATTTGCCACTCTTGATCAGAAGAGCATTTAACATATGAGGTTGGTGGTATCAGATCCATCTTACTGTTTCCAAAATCAAGGATACTCCCCACTGGTAAGCAGTACTGTGTGTAAGTGATGCCCCATAATAAAGGATTTTCTTTTTTTTTAAAGTAAAGCTACATGTTAAATATATAATGTTCTGTTAGGAAGGAAGGGTCTCCAAGTAGAAAGGGAAATTAAAATTTTCTTTTCCTATTTCCCCATGGAGGAACAGAGTAGCAAATCAAATAATTTGTTCATGAAAAACGGAAGGATGAAACTAGAAGCCAAACCCTGAGATATGCAGAACAGATTTCCTTGTGCTGTAGGTCATGTACAGCAGTCTAAAGGCTGTAGCTCTTCTGCTTAGTATTTATTTAATAAGTTTTATACTTATTTAGAATTCATTCACATTTCACCAAAAAAGGAAGTTTATGAGATGAAGCAGCTGATACATTTTCTTTTATCTGTTTCCCATGACAGAGCAGGCACATGCCACCACATGTAGCCCAAGCAGCACAGAGATCAGTGGGATGCAAGGAGCAACTTAAGCCTTTTAGCCCCCTCTTTCAAGACTATTCAGTGTGCTTCTCAGGCAGAACTTAGAACCTACTCACAAGACTCAGGGAATCTTCACATCATTTTAAAGCAGCCACAAAATCATTGCCACTAAGACGATACTGAATGCATCTGAATTTTGTTAATAATAATAATCAATGATTGAAACATGATAGGTTAAATGCATTAAAAAAATTTATATTGTTCCTCATCAAGGAAATCAAAACCACTGGGAGATTGTTGCATGGGGAAGGAAGACAAGGAAGGAGACAAGACTGAATCTGCAGCCTAGAACATGGTAGGCCAGATGAGAAGATTCCAGTGCTAAATGAAAGAGGGAGAAAATAGCAAGTCCCTTGAAAGTAAACACTCAAGTGGCAAGCAGAACCTCCCACTGAAAGGACAGACGTGTTGCTTCTGATGTCACCGACAGAAGAGTAAGCTGCTGACCCGCACATTTCCACAATTAAAACAGAAGCTTTTTTTACCCACGATGTCATCATCCGTCTTATAAATGGATTCTTCAGGAATAGGTTGGCTGCATGCTTTGCATGCCTTTACAATGCATAATTTGATCCACCAGGGTCAGGGACAACTCAGCTCCCCAGGCCCTTTGCCATTCTGTGTGAACAGAGGCAAGCAAGCTTTTATCAACAAAGCTCCACTGTTGGTATTTATTCTATGTATTTATTGTGCCTCAGGTTTTTACTAGGAGCTTATGGATTTGGATATCATATCGCAAGGACAATGGTCTGTCAATAATGGAAAAGAAATATTTGCTTTAGAAGGAAACAGTCTGAGTGCCTGACTGGACCCACCCTGTGATGGGCTGTGGGATACACCATATGGTTCTGTGCAATGGGGGCACAAGCTCTGAGAGCCTTTTGGGAGGAGGGAGTTGTGGTCAAAAGCCACACCTGAAAGCCAGACATTGAGACTGCTGCTGACAGACAGCCAGTGACATCTAGAACGATGTGATCCACCTTAGCAGCCCACCAGGCGGGATGATCTGCTGTAGCGCTGACATACATCCCAGCAGGAAAACGTGTTTTAACTGCAGATGTAGCCTTTCTCAGAGAACTCCTTGACAATTCCACAGAAGATGTTACGTGCAGCTAATACTCAGTACATGCCAATGCTTGGCTGAATGCTCTCATCTCCATCACTGAAGAAACATTAGTTTCTCTGCATTTCTTTTTGTTTGGGATTTTCCCTCACAAGAAATGGATCTCTGACTAAACACAGGATTAAGTCTGCAACACTGATGGCCATCCGGAAGATCATGAAGTAAAAACCCCTCTAAAATTTATTTCAAGTACAATTAACATTTCTCAGCAGCCATTCTCTCATTTGAAAATGGTGTGGGGAAATGGAGCCTTGCTTCCCTTCCAACCCACAGGACTCTGGTCTCATTAGAAGTTGCAGGGAGAATCAACACAGTTTGCTAAAAAAAAAAAAAAAAGCTTTTTTCTTTAGCCAGGGTGTAATCAGAGCTCCATAAGGAACAAAGTGGTTGAACTACATGTAGTCTCTTTCTCACAGGTGGTTGGAGTCCCTGTTCTCAGTAACATTAGGAATTACTTTAGCTGCTATCTGTCTGTCTCTCTTGTGACTGGTAAGAAGGTCAAATGTCTCCAAACACTGACCTTTTGCAAGATCAGACAGAGGCCTTCTGATCCAGACATCATCCTAGGTCATTGATTACAACTCTCCTTTGCTACTCTGCTTGCTGGTTTACACTTATTACAGTTATATTAAGAAGGATAGTAAAATTTCATTACTTGATTTATTAGTTTGTATTAATTTTATTGCTTTCAGAAAGAATTCAAGCCCTGTCCACATGCCATCACCAGTGCATTCTCTGAGCAGTGTAGACTGTGCTCATCCCCTGCACCTCTGGAGTGCTGGCTGCCACACCAGACCTCCAGTAGGCTTATACTCCTCTGGTGAGCAAAGCTTCCCATGCTCTGAACAGTGCTGCTGCTCTGATGTGCTCCCACCAGAGCAGTTATCACCAGTTATCACTGCTGTGATAACCAGATGTCTAAGAAGCAGGTAGAAATAACTGAATTTTCACAAGTTCTGACCACCATCTGAGAACCAATAAAAACCTGAACAGCAGTGATTCAAACCGGTATTAAGACTGTACCACACACAAAGACTACTCTTTGCATCAAACTTTGAAGTGTTTGAAGTGACGTGACAAAACATGCCTCTTAATTCACACTTTGATGAGTTTTACCTCTCTGAACATTTATTTCAGCAGTGATGGGAGATTGCTTTGCTTTGGGTTTACTTTCTACAACTATCTTACATAGTTTTTCCCACACAGGAAAGGGAGAAAATTTTCTGTCTGGACCAATTCCCAGGTATGGGTAGGAAGCTTAAAGTGGTGATAGAAAAAAGAAAACACCACCAAAAAAACCCAACAAAACCACAAAAACCAACCTCTGTATAATTCTAGCAATGTCAGAATAAATAAAACCTAGTTTCCAATGAATAAAGGGAGTTGTCTTATGATGTCTTATAAACCCTTGACTTTATTTCAAGCTCTTCCCAGGGCTGGGAACTTCCCACTCTAAATTCTCCTATTTTCAATACAGGCAGAATTCATGGTGTAGCTTTGAGCAGACTCTCAGCCTTCCCTTTTCACAGAACCTGTCAGAATTTCATATCATGAAAACCTCTACTTCTGCAATATGCCAGTTGAAATGGAAAAGCAATTCTCAGATGGTGCCAAGCACTCTAACGTTCAAACAAGGACAGAACAAATAGCAAAACACTGAAACGGGGTAACGCAAATACTTTGTAACACTGGAGTTTTGCAGAATCAAGAAAAGTCAGACAAAAATCCTTACCTGTAACTATGCCATAATTTGGAGGTTCAATGACAGCTCCGTAGAACTGAATGATGTTTTTGTGACTGAGCACACTGAGTATTTCTGCCTGTTGAAAACAAACAAACAAGTTAGACAATTAAAATAGACATTTACTATGATAGTTTATTTTATACCCCAGTGGGTATACACATATATATAACATATATATAAACACACACGTATCTAGGAAAGACTGTCCACAAACACTTGGCATTTGAAAACCTTATGAGAGAGTTTGGCAGATTAATGCTTTGTATGTTTGGGGGGAAAATAATAAATTTCAGACTATTCTTTCATGGCCAAGGCACAGATGTAGAAGTTAAGTCTTTGGAAAAACTGAAGGCCTTGGAAAACTTTGTTCAAAGAAAGATCTGGCATTTTTGGCAGAGCTGCAGCAGTCCTATCCAGAATTTGTGTTTATGCACAAAGTACTACGGGTTCAGCGAGTCCAGCACTTCAGGCTGTTAGAGCATACCATGCACACACAGCTCCATCCAACATTTACTGGAAATGCGGAATTTCCAGGCATCCGCTGTGGAGTCTGACTGGATACGCACAGCAAGCACGCTTGAGATTGCCAAATAGCCAGCAGTGCAGCTGAAACTGCTCCTCAGAGCAGACTACAGATGTTTGGCAATTCTGGATAAACACACAAAGCCCTGCAAGACAAAACCCTGTAAGACAATGAGACTGTATCCACAGAAATTAAGACATATACTCCCTGTAGGTTTTGAGAGTAAAGGTCAGGTAACTCCTTCAAGATCTCTCACCAGTTTCACCTTTGTAGTTTATTAAAATAAATACTCAAGATTTTGATGTTTCTACTCTAATCTGGGATTTAAGAGACACCAAAGCAAGATTCCATTTAAGAAATATGGAGATGTACCTTTTAATTTTCCACAGATACCCTGAATGAAAAACTGGGAGGGAAAAATTTTCCAACTCTTTCTAAGGACCATTATATCTGACAGAATCTTTTCTAAACACTTTTAATCACTCTGCTGTTGTTTGCACTAGCGATTCTAGATGATTCCTTTTATGTTTTGTTCTTTTCAGTTGCTGTACATTAACTGTGAACTCCATTAGCCAATTTAAAGACACTTATTCCCTACAGTGAGAACCAGATGCAAGTCAGTCCACACCTTTGAAGCTTTTGTACTATTTTTGACAAGAAGTGCCATATTTCAATGAAAATGACTTTCAGATAGCAAATTACAAAGTGATGGTTAAAGACTGGTATTTCAAAGGTCTCTTAGGCACTAACAAGAATATTCAGAATCACCTTTAAGCATCAAACTCATACTTAAATCCAAAATGCCTAAATGCTTGGAAGAAAATCCTGTCATGCATCTGTGTCTAAAGGCCATTGAAGAAGTCAGCCCTCACTGGCTTGGGCACAACACTCTTCCCTCAGTAAAGCTGCTTTCTATCTTATGCAAGCTGAATGAGCACAAATTTCCTTCCTAACTGGTGATGAAAAGTAACAAGTATTCAGTTATTTAATTAATGTTTTGTGAAAAACAGATTTTTTTTTTAATGTTGTATTGAAGCATAACTAGTGGGTTCTTCAGCTGAAGGAAAGGTACCCAAACATGTAAATTCAAACCCCCTGGATATAATACAGAGACACAGTCAGACACACAAGGGGACTGCAAGAGAGCTTAATATTATGCTTAGTCCCATGATAAACTTAGTCCCAGCCTGTTACTGACCATCAAACTACACTAAAACCATTCACCCTGCACTTACATCACAGGTATGGATGAAATTATGCCCTCTCGAGTCCTGCTGAAATGAATTACAGACTAGATGCCATCTCTTGAAGGCAAAGAGATTCAGAACTCCAAACAAACCTAATCCCCTGTTTACCTAATTCAACCACTATCACAAAATCCGAGGTCAAAGCAAATTACACAGAAAACATTTTAAGTTAATTCTCACCTACTGGCTTACCATAAATCAAACCCAATTCATAAGATAGTTACAGTATAAGAGTTTGGAATTCAGGTAATCCCTAAGTGTACAAACATTGTAATTGTGTCCTGTGAACCATGGTATGGATCACAGTATTTAATGGATAATTTAGTTTTATGGCTGTTTAATCTCTACTTACTGACATATGTGAAAATGTCAATTACATCATCTATGACTGACATCACCCTACAGCTGCCTCTAGACCCATTAGTACTGCTCTTAACCTTGTAGTACAAACAGCCATGCATGAATAACTGTATCTTCAGCTGTTTCAGCAAGTAAAAACAGGGTCCTCCCCTAGGCCTTGTCTGTGTTCAGCAATTACTGGACAGAAATCACAAACACAGGTTCTAAGCATGGTCGACAGCAGATGAGGGGACAAACCAAGCTGGCTGGACAGTGTGGTCTTGTTATGAGCATCACAAGCCTCAGCTCACTGGGATAACCCAAGCCTTCACTTGCTTTTGCTCTGTCCTGTACCAGCACAGCAAAAGCAGCAAATGCAGCTCAGCTCTGACGACAGCTTAAAGGCTGGTGCTGACTGCAGATGTGGGCAGCCTGATGCTGAGCTGGCATTACTCGGGAAGCAGACAAGGCCATATCGGCAGATCTTTAATTGCAGCCACACAGACAGTAAGGATGTGGACGGAGGTACTTTGCATACAGCTGTGTTGTTGCCTGCCAGCTACTCACAGCAGCTGCAGCTGCTCTTGTTAGAGCTCCCTATCCTAAGGCAGTCAAAGTTAGCGAAGACCAAACGACTCAGCATATTTTAGTTACTCTGGTTCTCCTTAGAAATATGTTAGAAATTTATTACAGTCACACTTGTAGTCAAGAGAACTGATCAAGGGTTTGGGCTAGCAGCACAGTTGGAACTGCAAAAGAACATCTGTCCACACAGTTTTTTCAGTATCAAAAGACTTTTCTCCTTAGGCCCAGACAAACTGGGCCCAAAGCAACTCAACCACCACTTCTTCCAGGTGCCTTTGGAGCACCTGACTGGAAAAAGCAATGTACTGCCATCTTTCCACTCTGCTCTGAGCACACTGGTTTAGGATTAACACAGGAAATAACTGCAGCCCCTTGTGAGATCATCAGGTCAGCCAGCAGCCGACCAACTCTCCCATTAATAAATCAGTAAACTGCACAGCAAGAGGCACCTTTGCTCCATGTAAAATTACAGTTAGACATGGTTAGCTACTCAAAGAATCTGACTAACACAACTTCCTTAACTGCCTTATAATACTATTATATCATGCAAAAGTTTGGTTATTTATTTTTTCAGAGAACTGTTTGTCATGTTTATTAAGGAGATATTTAGACACACTGAAGGCAGCTTTGGAAAGACATTTTTTTCCTAAGTCTTATAGCATTTTAAAGGCTTTGAGTTTTGTCATGTTCTTGGGAGAGTTGCAACTTAGCTACTCTCAGGGGGTTTTACAGTCTAATAAAAGAGCAGCTGGAAGAGGTCAGCTGATGTTTTATTACAATCATTCCATTAGTGGCAACCACATACAAAAAAGAAATGCTAACACAAATAAATACCACACCTTTATTTCTAGATTCCTGCTCAAAAATACATCCAGTCTGTTTCCATTCCCAGCATCTCATGAACGCTCTCTTATGAATTCACTGTTGCCTAATAAGATATGATGCCTCTTATAATATACCAATTTCTCTAGGTAAACAAGCCCAAAACATCATTTTACAGACACAATACCAGACAATCAGCATCTATCATTGCTAATAAATTATTTTCTCAAGATGCAGAACTTCAGAAACATAAAACTATTACTAAGAATTATATAGCAGGGATGAATCATAGAATCAACCAGGTTGGAAAAGACCTCCAAGATCATCAAGTCCAAACCTTGATCCCACACCGCCATGGTTACTAGACCATGGCACTAAGTGCCACATCCAGTTTTATCTTAAAAACCTCCAGGAACGGTGAATCCACCACATCCATGGGCAGCCCATTCCAATGTCTGATTCCAATGTCTGATTACTCTCTCTATAAAAAATTTTTTCCTAATATTCAACCTAAACCTCCCCTGGCACAGCTTAAGACCGTGCCCTCTTGTCCTGATATGCAATTATTACAGTTCTGAACACTGAAAAGAAAATCAAGCAGATACAAAATAAAACCTTAGGACTTTGCCAACTGATTTATCTGTTCTCATAAAATTTTCCATGGAAAAAAGTACAAACAAGAATTTTGTGTTTTGGGGTCCCCAAATAATAAGCAAAGCATTCTGATTGTCCAGTTCAAGGAATGTTTGCTAAACCTATTAAACTGTCTTTAATATTAACAATGCAAGAGGAAAACCACATGAACATGACAAAGCCAAGGATCATTGGTGAGATCTTTTATATGCAAATAAGTACAGTTATCACTTGCTCCAATGGACACACTCCCAGAATAAATGTGTTACCAACTTTTTCAATAGATTTTCAATAGAATCTTTTTTCAAAATTGTAGTTCTAAAACTATGGTTGCATGACACTCAAAGCTGTGTGAGCTTGGGCTTCTTTTTTAGTACTGATTTAGAGGATAACTTATGCCAAATGAAAGCAATCTTCTACAGCCTATTTACATGTTAAAACTCTGTCAGTGTTTGTCTTAGAAGACAGCCTCTACATTCGAGCTGTATTAAGTAACAGCATCCTGTTTTTTAAACCATATAGAAAAGAGTTAAATTACATTCTCAGATTGATGTCACCAGCATTTCTGTACATAACAGAATTAAATTCTCACAAGTACATCTACAATGACGTACCAAATTTGTACTTAAAACTATTTCAATGGAGCGAATGTTTCAAAGCATCAAATCTGCATCCAAAATTATGTCCCAGAGACTAAAAGTGGAAATATACAGAAAACTAATAAATTCTCATTGCTACATAATCATCTTATGTTTCAAATCCACTGGTTTATATCACCAAACAATTCTCATTTTTTGAGATACTGTGGTAGAAACACACTTCAAATACATTGTATTGACTTTTAGGTTGCAATCTTGAAGAAAAAAAAGCACATTTCCAAGAAAACTCAGTTCTGTTAAACTGTCATAATATACCAGAGAGAAGGAA